ATATATATATATATGGTGTGTATATATGTATATGTAGGTAGATAGATAATGTAGACAGACAGAATACCACCAGGTTTTTTATGAACACGCCTCCGGAAACAACCCACGGCCCATTCGAAAAATAGACGGATTCCAGGAATTCGGAATTCGGAGACGGCGTTTCAGTCGGCATCCAGGGTTCAAGCGGCTTACGATTTGGGGTCGTTTGCGCCGAATTTACTCCTGAATTGGCTTCTTGGTGCTTACCGAACTATTGGTTCTCCGGTCGTTTCAAAGAGGCCCTCCTTGTGAAGTTGCTTTCCGAAGTTGCCCGAACCGAGATTTTTGCGTCTGCTGTGAGTTTGCACGGGCCGACGGGATATGTATATATATAGAAAAATATATATATATTTATATAATACATATATATATATACACACACATATATATATATATACATATATATATATATATATACACATATATATATATATATAACCGAAGTCCAGAAGGCAGCATCGACCGCGAGTCTTCCTTTCTGGGGCCCGGCCCTTCAGGATGCTGCCCGGACGATTGCAGATCTTCGTGCAACCTTTGGAACTCTCACTCTTCGGACAGCCTGGAAGCTTAGAGTGAGCGAATGCTTGCGGTTTTCGTTGCAGTTTGGTCCCGGCACTTGAGGGTCGAGAAGGAGAACGGCGGGGTTGACCTGCAGGCGAGCAGCGAGCTGTTGGCTCTGACAGCACACTGCTCGGCCACTGCTCGTCTCAGACTGCAGGCGATCGGCCAGCACTTCAAGAGCAAGCGATTGGCTGAGTGTATTCGGCTCTTGGCTCGCGATATCCGACGGAGATCGTACGAAGGTTCTCGGCTGTGAGGATTGACCACTTTCCACGGCGGGGGACCATGGTCCAAGTCGACAGCCCCCCGACTGCTTTGCGATACGCAGCCTGAGGCGGTACCTGACCGATGAGCCCATTGCTGCAATGGAGGCATGATCTCGATCACTTGCATGCGGTGATGTGTTGCATCGTTTCTGGCCGTGCCGACTTTTGGTGGTGCCACGACCATGTGATCCCGGAGGTGAACCTTTCCTGTGTGCCACCGCAGCCCGCCGAGGGTGAGCCCAATGTGGAGAACGACGTGAAGCTGTGCATCAGAATGGGCCCGGCTTTGTGTTGTCGTGACTCCCGGCACAGCAGGTAAAGCAGGTTTGCCCTCATGTAGGTGGCAAGGCTGCCTTGCGGGCGAAGGTCTCGAGCGCGCGGGTCCTGGCCGCATCTCGCACTGGCTTTGGGCTTGGCCCGGCCATGCCGACCCAGGTCAAGGTGGATCACAGTGGCATGCTGTCAGGCCAAACTGCCGGAGTCGACACAGGGCTCAGTGTTCGTTGACTTGCCGTGCTGGTTTGGAGGATATGGCATCTGGTGGTCAGCGGACCTCGGAAACGGTCACGTGCATGGCCTCAGAACACCCTTGGCCTCCTCTCTTTTCGCTTGTCTTGTCTCCAATGTACGTAATGTACCTATTTAGTGGCTATTGGGGGGCTTGCCGTTGGTGTGCTAAGGTGGTGACCAGCAACCCGAGCAATCCGCAAAGGTAAGCTGGCTCGATTACGGCAAGGCGCTGCGAATTTGCTGTTGTCTTTGCGGAGGAGCTGGAAGCAACTGATCCGCTGGCTCGATGCCCCTCGCTTTGTCTCCGCCGGGGAGGACATCCAGGCTGAAACCATACTTTGTGTAGCATGCGGCCATGGCGAACGAGAGTATGTTGCAGAGGTCTTGACATGCTACAACGACCACCAGGTCAGCTGGAGCCTCTGTGGCTTTGTGCTTACCTTCCAGAAATCAGCAGAGGTTAACGTCGAGGATATCTACCTCCCTCCCGAAATGGTGGACAAGTACCAGGAGGCCACCGTTTGCTGGAAGGATGTTACCTAGGCCTAGGCCTAGGCCCGGCTTGCAAAGATGCCCGGTGCAGGAGCTGCTGGCAGCGCAGGGCCAGGCGGCCGGAGGCAGGGAGGCCAAAAAAGCCTCCTTGAATCTGCTCTTGACAGAGTCAGAGCTCATAGAACATCAGGCGGGGGGCAGAAGCCGAATGCAGAGACAGAGGCCGCTGCAGGTCTAGTCCCGAGACCTTCGTTCGTTGTCCCTGTGAGGAGCTGATAGAGGTCGACTGAGTGTCGCTGTTTACATGTAGGTGGTAGGGAATTGTTTGCAACTTAAGACCGCTAAGCCGGCAAAAAGAGGCTGAGTCCGTTCCACAGCATTCCCCGCATTTCATCTGATCTAGATCGTCGTCGCTGAAGCGGTCGTTGTTAGCCGCATCAAATGCATGCTATGCTGCGTGTCGCCTCGTGTGCCAGTTGATGTTCCCGAAGTTACTCGTAGCGACTGTCTGCCGCACGTGGCTCAGTGGACAAAGCGCCATGGACATCGAAGACCTGCACCTCGCCTGCTTAGCAGACATCCCGGAGGGTGGAGGTCCCTGCCGGCTGGAACTTGAGGACCTCGCGGTACCCAAGAGGCAACCAGCACAGGAGGATGGGCCAAAGATGTTTGCGCGGGTTACCGAGACAGACCGTGCTCGGGCCTTGCAGCGCCCACCCCTGATCTTGTCGTGCTCGAGGCGGACCGACGTGCCCTGGGCATTTCTGCGGCAGTACCTGAAGGCCTTCCGCGAAGGTTTCATGTACGTGCGGAGCCCTGTGACTCGCCTGCTCCGCATATACACACACTGGTTCTAAACACTGCAGCTCAGATACTGGCATCAGTCTTGCACAGCGCTTGTCTCTGTGTTTTGGCACACACACACAGCATCTAAGCATCTAAGGTGACTGGGCAAATGGACCCTGTGTGCCTCAGGCCGTATGATGAGTCCTCTGGCAAAGGTGTGCTTTGCATTAGCTGGCGGCTCAACGTAGAAAGTTCATAAGCTTTCCAGAGCTTTTGTGGTTGAAGTGGGCCAAGTGGGGAGCTTTCATGCAGTTCAGCTGGAGGTGTACATCAGCTGAGGTGGTCAAAGAATTATTCAAAGTGGATTGAGGAGTTCAAAAAGGAGGACAGCATTCTCCACAGCTACCGGGTGCACATGTTCAACTTCACGGTGAACTCCGATGATCTCGTGCTGGAACCCGGTATGGCTGCACAGCTGCAAGAGCGGCTTGAGCAGGTCACCTGGCTGGTGCGGCGCCGAGTTTCAGCTACTGGTACCAGGGTCGATCGATGTGCGAGAGAGTGCAGGGGTTTGTGCCGGCACGCGCTTGGCAGGTCATCACAGTGTGTTGTAGGAAGCATGTGTCTGTCAGTATTCGGACTCGGCTAGCGGCCTGTCAGCTCCTCTTCTGAGGCCACTCGCTTCGGCCCCCATGCTCTAAACGTGCGCTTTGACCCCATCGTGCATTATCGGCGATTGCCGGGTCTTGGTGTCCACGACAACCTGCAAGACTTTGAACAGATCGTGCGACACATTGGCAGGCTTGGGATTCGCCACATCACCTTCAGCTTCTGCAAACCTTACAAGCAGTCCGTGCGAAATATGCTCTCAGCGGGCGTAGAGCTGGTAGCGCTGTCGGATGCACAGCAACGACAGGCGGATAGCATGTCATGCTGGATTTTCCACAGTCCGACCACTTGTCTCTTGCCAATCATGTTGAAGTGCGGGGCGAGAGCCTCATACTAGTAAAGCTTCGTTGTCCCTGAGGTCCTAGACCGCTTGCTGCCGATAGCGGCACTGAGCAACGTGGAGCTGCGCTGCTGCTGCGACACCGGGCTCGTGGGCTACCGCATGGCGTCGCCAGTCGCCGTGCCTGAGGTCAGGAAGCTGCGGCGATGGGGCCTCAAGAAGGACAAGAAAGACGGGAAAGAGGGGAAAGAGCTCCTCGCTGCACCTCTGGTCCCGGAGGCCGGAGCGTGTCGAGTGCACTTTTCATGACGAGTGAAGAGCTCGAGAGCTTGCGAGCCGGGTTTGGGAGGTCGGGGAGTCGCGATGCCTGGACGCTCGGCTAGCAGATCGTCTGGCCCGCGATTTGGGTTTGAAGGTGACTTTCCCGCACCAGAAAGATCGGGGCCAGCGCGAGCAGTGCAACTGCACTGGGAGTAGAGAGATCGGCCAGTACGAGCTCCAATGCCCCAGCCTCAGTCGACATGTCTCGTCCCCGCTTTCTGCATCGTGAAGGGCATTGGCTTGCAGGCCCGCACTCTTGCTTGTACTGCTACGCGAACCCCAAGCCGGTGCAGCCCGGCGCAACCGGCGGCAGCTGAGACCTACGTTCTCACTTTGTACAGCCTTCCTCAATATGCCGCGGGGCCGCTCCCGAGACAAAATATCGGACATTATATGACATTACCTGCCGTGACTTGTCAAGCGCTTACACCACTGCGACCATGACCTGATCGTTGATTTCGAAAGCACGGCTTCTGCACTGGTTTCGGGTGCGTTATGGTACCTAGGCCTAGGTTTCAGCAGGCAAGTTGAACATTAAGCTTTCAGTGCCCGTGCTGCACCAACTCGTTGGTTTTGAGCGACTTTGAACACTTGCAGCAGTAGGGTTGGACAAAAAAGGTTTGAGGAGGAAGGACAGTGAGACAATGCATGGGAACGGTCGAACGAGCAGCTTCCTGTGGTTTCTGAGACTTAGTTTGGCTTCTCGGTTTAGAGCTCTCGAGCTTTTTCAGGGGTTTCAATCTGCGGGCTCATCGTTTGATGTCGGGGCGTTCGCTGGTTATGCCAACGCTTAACAATGTAGACTGCTCAAAGCTCATGTTAGTTACGGACAAGATGCATGCAGAACACATCTCCCAGGTCGTAGCAACGATGCCACATGCCAACATGTGACAAAGGAAAGCTCCCCTGCAGAATGTAGACTTGTTTTCATGGTGAAAGGTGCAATTTCGCCATGGGGTTACTGCTCACGTTTGTACCGCTCACTGCGAGATGCTACGAGGCGCAATCTCGTCCTGGTGTTTGGTGGTTTGCTTCAGAAGCCTGCTAGGCACAGGAGACTGTCGGTTCCCAAAGATGGCAACCACCTCAGAATTTATTTTCTGGCACGGTCGAGAATGCCTCTGTCCCTTTGCGAAGGTCAGCGATATCCTCTGCCGACGGAGCTGCAAGCTCAGCTAGTAGAAACGTCCAGATGTTGCTTCAGCGCTTCAGGTTGACAGCCCTTGAAACTGCAGCTGGCCAACGACTTCTGTCACATGCGAGTCGGCCCAAGTATCGCCACTCCAGGGACTAGTTGGAACGTCGCGCAAGCTTCTGAACCTTCGAGTTCAGGGTGTCCGACTCCAAATTGGTCGCTGCGCTTCTGACACAGGAGCTCTTCTGCAACTGTGTTGAGTCCTGCTTCCGATCTGGACCGTCGTCTGCAAGCGCTGTCTCCCCATTTTCCTGACTTGCTGCTCTCTGACCCTTGACCCTGCAATGGCATTGTCAGTTGTTTACAGTTTCTAGCCTTTTCCGGCCGGTTCGGGCTTCAGGCTGCACTTACACGTTCCTCTGCGTGACGTTGAGCTGCTCCGCGTGGAGTGAGAAAATTACATCCTGGCTGGACCCGGGGGACTGCAGGGAGGGCTGTGGCAGGTCTCCGCGCTGGCGACAGTGTGAAGAGCAAAGGCGATGTGGCGAGAGCGCCATGACAAAGATGCCCCATGGTCTAGGGGCCGCTGGCTATCGCATTGGCATGCTCGCTTGGCGAGTGCAGTGATGAGTCACAGCCGTGGCCGTGATGCCGTGTTGGTAAGCATCCTCCCGCCATGCCCTCCCGAGCATGCGAGAAGAAACGGGCCGGCACGTTCGGGCGAATGCAGCCCGTGTATTGGCACTGGTGCCGGCATTGCCGGCGGAAACCAAGGCGACTTGCGGCAACTGCCATGCCGACGACAACCAATTTGCAACGGCAGGCAACTGCCAGATGTTTGCCACAGCTCTTACCTGCGGCCGGCTGCCACAGATGCAGCCGCCTGAAACCGCCCTTGTCTGCCACCCCATGACGAAGCCGCTTGAGCTGGAGTCCGACATCGAGGACGACTCGTGGGTAGAGCCCTGAAGCTGCCTGCTTCGTCCGCCTGCCTGCCCACTGTCACGTTCTTTGCAAGCTCCGTATCGTTCTGCTGCTCTCGCCGACGCACAGGCGACACGCTTGCCCCCGCGCTTTATTCATCTTTATATTCCCTTCGACAGCACGAAACCTTGCGGAAGGCCTCCGACAGCGTGTTGGCGTTCCTCGACCCCCTGTACGTCCTTGTTGCGCCCGAGCGAGCACGAGCCCCCCACAGGACAGAAGTCGAGGTCGTTCAAACACATGGCATCGCCTCCTTCGAAAGACGTGCGCGTATGGCTGCGATGAAGGCCCTTTCCCCCCACCCCCCCGAATAGAGCTGAATCGGAGGGGTGGATGTTTGGCGCGGGGACAAGCCACTCCCTGAGCGAGACTGGTAGTCCTGGGCACTCCGGCCGGCCACTAGGAATTACACATGGACTCAGCAGCGCGGCTTCTCCGCGATCATGCGCTGCGAACTGTCCCCCCAGCAGTGGTGTCGCCGTGGCAGACCTTCAAGGCACAAGACACATGGCAACTTGACCGACTGCCCTCGGAGGCTTTGGCTTGATTTCTGCCACTCGCAATGTGCCTGCCGCGCACTGGGCTGCGTTGATGCGCAGGTCGTTCTCCGAGCTCGTTGGCCAGCCTTCCCTGATGCCTGCACGTAATTGCTTGTTACAGGTGTGGGGTGCGCGCCAAGCCTCAGGAGCGCAGTTGCGCTCCGGCAGGCAGAGGGGTTGGCACGAGTGCCCTTCTTGGGAAACAGTGGTGCGGGTGTCCGTCCGCCTTCTTCAACCGAACAGGGTGTAGGCGATTGTTACTTTCGCGAATGCAGCGCCAGCCTTCCCTGTCGCCGTCCGCCCCTCCGCCGGTGGTCGCAAGCTGGCTAACACGCCGAAAGCGTAGTTGGCTGCCATACCCGGCGAAACCCCAGTGAGCCGCCCCAAGCAATGCTGTTGGAATTGCGCCGCTGCCCGCCTCCCATTGTGCTTGTGTGCCAAATGTTGTGGCCCGCCCGAATGAAGAGGCGAACTGGATGCTTTTGGCGACCATGCACGCCTTGGCATGCACTCGCACCGGTCTGTTAAAAAGTTTGCTCGCACGGCGAAGATTGGAACGGGCGTGGGTGCACGTGGCCCCGGAGTCCGTCGGTCCGGATAAGCAGGCAGTCGCCCGAGAGTGGCCAGCGCGCGCTACAGCCCAACCCCACGACCGCCGCCGCCTGGACCTCTATGACACTTGTCTTGCAAGCCTGTCACGCGCACGCTTGCCACAGCCCTGCGCTGCTGCGCACGACGGCGGTGCCCTGCGTCCGAGTGCGTAGCAAACGAGACGCCTACTCGGAGGGTGTGGAATACCGGTGCGGGATCTCGTCCGAGTCCGTGCCCAGCAAGCTCCGCCAGCGATGCGAAACGCCGCATCCTTGGCATGGGCATGCCGGTATCTTCCCGTAGCTCCATGCAGCGTGGCGCGCATGACCATCCATGCAGAGTTGTTGGTTTGCCTATATGGGTGCTGAGCCTGGACCTTGCAAAGGCATTTGACCGCGTAGACTGGAAAGCTCTATGGACAGCTCTTCGCGATCGCGGAACTTCGCCCCACATGATTTGGATAGTACAGCACGTATATTCGGAGCAAGTTGGTCAGGTGACAACGCCGACTGAATCATCGAAGGAATTTCCGATTAGAGCTGGAGTTCGCGCCAAGGTTGTGTGTTGAGCCCTCGTTTGTTGTGCGCCGAGCCATGCGTGATTGAAAACAAGCTGGACAACATTTTGGGATCCAATTAAAAGAAACTCCCAAGCACTGACGGATCTGCGCTTCGCCGACGACATTTTGTTGTTTGCGCTTTCGTTGCAACAAAATCTCGAAATGTTGAAATTATTGGTTTCATGTTTGCGACAAGTTGGCTTGGTATTGAATGCCTCGAAAACCAAGTCAGATGACGACCCAAGCTCCGCCACCCGATCGATCATGGCTTCATGCAGACATTTACATTGACGTTGTTCATGGCAGCTCCTCTCACACATGGTTGGGTTGTCAGTTGTCTATGTAAGAAGAAGGATGGCGACCAAAGCGCAGATATTGAATTTCATCTCGATGCAGCTGCACGTTCTTGCTGGGCGAACAAATGGATTTTACGCGATAAGCATACCCGTTATCACTTCGGGTCAAATGTTTCGATGCCGTGGTGACACCGGTGGCATGTTTTGGTGCAAGGCATCGTAAGATTTCTCAACATCATCTCCGCAAGTTGGATTCCGAGTGGCGACGATTGCTTAAACGTATGGTTGGACCACCTTCGGGGCTTGATTGGTCTATGCCCTTGGCATGACGTACTGCGCAATTGGAATCAGCATGTGCAGCACTTTATTCGAACCCTACAGTTGCAAAGCAGTTCTTGCAGATGCCTCCATTCTTACTCGAATTAGCACACCATGTGACAAACTTGCCAGCGGACCGGTGGCTTGAACGTGCAATGGGCTGGTTTCCAGGTGGAGCACGAATTCCTGGTAAACATCGAAACCGCTGGCAAACACATCCCGAAGCTTTCGCACGCTTCTCTGGAATTGACAGCTGGAATGAGTATGTGAGCAACTTTTTCTATGTCGCGCGTGATGCATTCTTAAATTTTGTACAGTTCTGAACACAACCATGAAATCAAAACGGGTTATGTTCAGAATGAGTCTGGCGATGACGTGGCGTCATGCTCAACCACAGCTTGCTTGTGGCACGCAGGACTTGACTTGACTTGATTCCAAAGTTGTTGCACACTCGAGCTGCCCAAGATGTAAACCCGTGGTCATGCGATCAGCGAACACTGGTAAGCGGGCACAATCGGACTGAACAGCCATGCTACGTTGCGTACGATCGTCCGCGTGATTCCGCGTGGAAATGTAGCAACAATTTAAGGGTGATGAGATCTTTTCGGGGTGACGATATGGTGGCAATTTGCGCGCGTGGGATCCCAGCAGTTTTTCTCGCCGCCGACCGAAGTTACCAAACAACAAAGACTGTTGGTTACTTACGAAGAAAATCGGAGTGACATTTGGTGGCTGCTGGCGATTCGACGTTTTCATGATCGGCGTCACCCCGTGTTGTGGGCGGTGTGCTGCGACGCCGCACTGGCGGGGTCAGGCCGGGCTGGGCCTTTCGCCGCCCGTGCTTTTGACGCCACGCCCACGCGGGAAGATGTCATGACCAACAGGCTCCCGCTTG